TTAGGTCTTTAGGGAAATCGCTAAGTAGCGAAACATAGTCATAATACTGACAAAAAAGATAAAGTATGATGAATAGTAATAAAAATAAGTATTGACGAATAACAATAAAAAATAGAAATTAAATAATACTTTTAATGTTATTAGTTCATAAGACTTCATTTTTCAGATTACTGCTAAGTTCAGTAATGATGGAATTCAAAATTTGAGATTCCTAATATGCAACCATGGGTTCAACAACATATTTACAACATTGACAACCCATATAATTGACATTCCCAGATTAAATTTACATTTCTGTATTTGAATTTAAGTACATGAAATTTAGGAGTATTTTTGACAACAGCAAAATTGATCTAAAATTAGTAAAATCTAAAAATTACAATAAAATAACCAAACATGCAAAAAAAGCGTTGAGAACAACAAAGCAAAAAAGCCATAATTTCAAAAACAAAAAAATCTATATTTTGGAAAAAGCTAAATTATTACAAAGAGAAGGGTTTTAATGTTTTGACCACATCCCATCCTGCCCTAAAAAATGGAGTTTTCATCACTTCACGATTCCAATCTTTTCTGGANATTTGAAAATTGATGAAAGACTTTTTACCCAACATTACAACTCTCCCAACTCACAGGCAAGCAAAAAAAACAAAGAAAACTAACTGAATGCGAACTAAAGACTAGCTGTTCTAGCTTGCCTGCCAAGAAACTAATATTCCCACCTAGAGCCTGTAGACCCTCAGATATACTCGCCAGAATATACAGGAACACCTACAGCAAAAAGGTCAAAAATTGTGAATCTCGGGATCAACTTATCAAGCATTGATCCTTGATTAATTTAATCCCTTCTTGATTACCCGAGGTGATCATATCCTCCAGGGAAAATCAAAATAAAGGGAACAAATCAAATCAAATGAAGATTAAAAGATCAAGAGCTAAAATACCACCTTTTCAAAACAAAAGTATGACTTCAGTTCGTTATATTTTATTATTATTCAAGAAAATTGCAGTACATAATTCATGAAAATTACTGATGAAGAATTAACTGGCCCTATAGCAAGGATTTATTGTTGGAACATCTTCAAAATTCATTAGTTTTCTCCAGATTTTAAGTGCTTTGGGTCATTTTATAACAGAACTGAGGTCCTATTTTTCACTTCTTCTCCGAGTCTGGAAAGGTCGGCAATTTTTCAAGATATAACGGTTATGTGAATGGTCAGAATTATAAAATTTACTGAAATTTTTCTTTTCACAAAATAAGCCAGATTCCCTGAAAAGAAATTCAATATCAAATCTAATGATGTCAAATAATGAAAATGCACGTTGACAAGAATTTTGAACTTTTAAATTTGTTGAAAACCATAGTTTTAATAAAATCTAAGAAAGAAAATATTTGTGGAAAGAATATAACAATGGACATCATTAAAAACATGGAACAGGAACATGAAATAATTACCGTAGGTTCCAGAGTAGCCAGGAACATGAAATAATTACCGTAGGTTCCAGAGCAGCCAGGAACATGAAATAATTACCGTAGGTTCCAGGGTAGCCAGGAATGCCATATGATCCTGTGCTAGTGTGTCCAGGAGTACGTAGTAAGTCTGAGAAAGCTTTGGATAGTCCAACAGATCAGTCTGAGTTTAATACAGTATATAGTCTGGATATCTTGTTCTAATTTTGAAGAAGAAAATGGATATTTAGAAAAACGGAGATGTTGAAATAATATCTAATTTTTAGAATGTTGTTAACATTAAAAAAATAAAATATTTAAAAATAGTCTCGATATCTACATAGAGAACAAGCAGAGGGTCCGGAGGTGGGAACTCATGTATTGTTGGGTATCGAGATCAATGCTAAATCTCGATTTTTTTGTTAATCTGCAGATTTATTTAATCTTTATTCAATATCCTGCATGGAAATCGTTACCAGTCAGGGATTCAAGGGAGCTTTGCTCAGGAGAGGACTAACTAATAAGAAAAAATAGAAACTGGAAAGGTACAGTTTTTTTAGATCCTCAAATTTAAAGTATCCACAGTTAATGTCGAGATCAAGCTATAGAAATTACAAGAATCCAACCAGAAAGTTCCCAGCTCAGGATAAATATCATATACTTAGTTGAGAATACATGGCTCTAAAAATGATTTTAGGGATTTTAGGATCTTTGGATAAAAACATTTTAGGGGAAAAGCCCCATTATCCAATATTCCTCAAAAAACGTAAAATTTCCATTTTTTCAAAGACAAAGGTTTGGATGGAACCCGTTTGTGATTTGAATATTTGTCCAGGATTTATAAAGTTTCCTGAGGTATGGATAGAAGTAGTTTTACAAATGTATTAAGAGCATTATCCAGAGCATCATCTCGGTACAATCTAGAAAATAATATAATTTGAAATTTATCCTTTGATTTTTTATCAAAAAATAATTCAATATTATTTTAGAATATTCCGATTAATTTACTCTCTTTCTGTTTACAATCCCTATTTTTTAGTGAAGAATTGCGTGGTTGAATTAATGGCGTGTTTCTCATCAAGGTAGAAATCCACCAACATGGTAAATAAATCCCCACAACAAGTAAACTCGGAGAGAAGGACAGGACAAAATCATTCATTTTTTTGGCACATATAATACTAGCTGGAGTTCCCGGCGTTGCTCGGAGAATTTTTCCAAAAAATAAACTTTTTGTTAGTTTTTCAACCCCCGGGATACCAAAGGGTCCCCTCAAAAAAATTCAGCCAATTAGGTCCAGCTGTTTGGCCGGCTATAGCTAACATATACAAGCAAAGAGCTCTATTATATAGAATATTATATATCTATCTTTAATGACGCGTCTGTGCACTGCCTAGGGACTACAGAAACCTACCAATCAGACTAATCCTGTTTTTTTAGTCAGGTATATACACTACAGTGTAACTCAAAAGTGCCAAATTCGAAGGCTGTCAGGCCTTTCGTTGCTCATTGATAAAAGATCAAATTCTAAAAGTAAAAAATGGGGATTTAAACCCAGGAGGACAATACTCCCTGCAACGCTTTCAGGCACATCAAGGTTAGGCTAAGTCCAAGGGGGTCAACTGCCCAACTCTGTGTCAGAATATGACACTGTTGAGGAGAAAATACAACTCATGGCATGCGATCCAAGAAATTTATTCTACGCCGACTGAGTAGCAGATCCAAGTACTGACACCCTTATAAATTCACATTCATTCAAATTCACAACTTGATTTCCCCCTCCCCATATCAAGTTGTTAGATTTATCCGATGTAAAGTTGGTCTCAATATTGTATTGTCGATGGAAAGAATTTGATCTCTTTGTATAGACTTCGTTCGGTTGAAAAAACGCTCTCAATTAATAATTAAAATTTAATTATTTTTAAAGAATTATGGTGAAAAATTATTTTCAACCTTTTATCAAAAAATATCTCTGAGGTAAAAAATAGTTCATTTTTAGATAATTCTATGCAGAGAATTTTTTTCCAGTTTTTTTATTAATAGATACAAAAACAAATTCTAAGTAAAACGCAAATATACTTTCATAAGTTTGCCACATACGGAGTTATTGCTAGACAAAATTCACTCTAAAAAAGGTGTTCAATGTGTATCTTTGACTTGTCCTCATGATCTAGATATTACCATGACTTGGCAGGAAATCTTTGGGTGGCATAGCGCATAACCCTTCTCAAGAGATGGTCGTTAGCCTACACCACAGCCTTGTAGCCAGTGGTCTCTTCTTTAAACACTGCACTGCCTAGTTGGAGGCAAGGGATTTCTGCCTCCTCGTCCTCCTCTATATCTGCCAAGCCATGGTCGTCCTCCTTCTGGAACTGGGTCTGATTATCATTTTCTAGTCTTTCTTGAGTCTACCTTTACTCCAGTTCTGGTGAGCCTCCTTGTCCATGCGCAATATGACAAACTAACTGGAGAAGAAAAATACCCTAAGCTTAGAAACCCTTTCTTTATAAATTACAATAAAGTCAGACAGGTTGTCATGTCATTATTTTCTCTGGACCTAGATGACAATATTTAACGTCTTATTCTTCTTGTTTGTATCCTTAATCTGGTCGTAGGCTGTGTAGATCTTCTTCCTTGATGTCAATCAATTCTTGGATCTCCTATCTACACTGATTTGATTGCGGAGTTTCTTTCAAAGCTTTGTGGATTTTTTTCGAACAATTTTTCAATTCAAATAAAAGTTTCCTGATTAAAATTTAAAAATATTAAATCTACAACACAACACATAAAATAGAGGGTATGTGATTTCTAAGTGACATAAAACTAAAAATTTACAGCCAAATTAGAAAGTTAAGATATTCTTTTTTGTTTGTTTGTGGGTTAAGTTTTTAATGGTGCAATTTCTTGGGTGAGATTTGACCGTGATCGAGACATTTTTTATCTCCTAATCGTCCAGAGCGTAACAAAGAATAATTTAGAGGTAAAAAAATAAATAACGTCAAGCACTATCTAAATCGGCAGTACATTAAAAGTTAAAAGAACACCCCAGTTAAAGATTTTACCTAAAGACGCCAAAGTTCACGTAAGATCCACACAGCGCCATCTTCAGCATATTGAAACAGATTGAAATACCCTGACAAATTATATCAATCAAACATGTCTTAGGTTCAAAAGAGAAGAAGCGGACATTTTACAGGATTTAAAATATATAAGATATTTGCAGTAGTGTCCATGCCTCTTAGTCTTCTGTCTAATTTCTATTTTAATCTGCAGACCTGCAATACACCCTTTGTAAAGTAAAAGTAATGTTAAGTGACCATCAATGAAATGACGGCAGTGCCCGATTCACAACAGTACCTTTAAAAGCTTTGATCATTTACAAATACAAATTTTAAAACTGATTATTTTCATTTGTGGTTTCTTTTCAAAAGTGCCTCACATATTCCTACTGCAAAAAAATATCAAAAAATATCACTTTAAGCCTAAAATAAAACAACAATATCTTCACAATTATTGATCAGATAAAAGTTTGAAGGGTACCTATGTGAATGGGGTATTAACATCTTTGCATAGAGGGTCACATAAAATTACGCTAACAGTCCCTTCAACCCACTTATTTTGATTAACCCATTAGTGACGAGACCATTAACTATTAGTGAAATTGTTTTAGAAGGATCTTGTCAAAACAAAGCTTGATTGTACTCATGAAAAAACGATATTCAATTAAATTTTTGAATTTTTTTTTGTACAGGGTGACCTGTAAAACATGAAAATCTAAAAAACTTGGTAATTCATAATTATTTAATTATCTTCAAAACTTTACTTTTCATGTTTTAGTTATTTAGATCTTTAAAAGATTCCAAAAATATCTTTTAATTTTTTCTAGCCAAAAAAATGACAATTTAATAGATTCAAAACTAAATTAAAGGGTGTTCTTTTGGTTTTTTTTTCGAATTCAAAATCTTTTTTTTTTATAAAATTGAAAAAAAAAAACAATTTTGAAGTTAAGTCAAATATAAAATATGTTTTGAAAACAGGGAATCCTAAGGAAAGCGCAGGAAAAGACAAGACAACATTTAGTTTAAGAAAAAAGGGACTTTTAAAAAAACTCACCAGGTCAAAATTGACTTTCTCGTCACGAATGGGGTAATTAATATGTTAATACATAAAAATCGATTTGATTGATTGATTTGCCTTAAGTTTAAGAGGATACATTTGATCCTTGGGCACAATAACGTCCAGGATACGGTTACCTAAACAGAAGCCGTAGTAGGATTTTTTTACTGAAAACAAATCGTTTCAAAAGATTGGACATGGAAACCAATTAAGATAGATAAACATCAATTATAATCATATAATAATGATTTTAGTCATTAGTAACAAAAAAGTTCAAAATAAATAAGCTATTGAAAAAAGTGCACACACCAACCTGCATCAAGCGTAGAAAAAAATTTTAAGTAAATTTGTTGTAAAACAAAAAGATACCATATGAACAGGTACAGATACAGATACAGGTACAGGTACAGGTACAGGTAAGAATTTTAAGTAAAAATTGTCATAAAACAAAATAATCTCCGAATGTATACAGATATAGGTAAAACAGGGACAGCTAAGCATTTTATAGAAATAATTGATATAAAACTAAAAAAATCACCGTATGTACAAATGATCTTGCTGGCCTCTCTAAACAGTAGAATTCCATTGGGTGAGGATACATCGAACTGAAGTCTCTGACTTCTGTTCTGTACTAACTCAGCAAACAGTTTTAGAATGGGAGTTGTCACCTAAGACGGAGATATGTTATCTTCTTCTTCTCCAGCTTTTACTTTCGTTCTACCACACCCCCTGCTACTCCCACTTGCCACATAACCCTTTCTAGACCCCTTTCTTCTAACTTGATCACAATTATTTTCTACTCAATAATCTTCCTTCTAATTTCTACCAGTTTCTTATCACTCATTCCTTCATCCTGTTCCTTCTTATCCCTTTCTCCTTGTTTTATCTCCTCTCTGACCTTTTAACCTTTTCCTCATCTCCTATTTCTCCCTTTTACTTCTTTTTATTCCCTCCTCCATCTACCTCCAATTTCCCATACCCTCTTACCCGTACGGCAGACCTACTCCATCTCACTATTCCCTCCGTCTACCTCCATCATTCCTTACCCCAACCAACAATCATTAAGTTTTTGACAGTTTAAAGATTTCAACATTTTTGAATTTTTTCAAGACAGGATAAATAAATCAATATATTTCACCTCCACTGGATGTTAATATGCGATGCTCTGATTAAATTTAAAAGAAAGCTAAAAACACTGAAAGAATCCTTGCATTTTTATCCAAAAAAAGGACCAACTAGTCCCGTCCTAATCCCCATCCTTGATAATACCTGTGGGTCCTGATACCATATATCTACAGCCCTCTGTAGTATAGGAGTATAGGCTGGATAAATCCAATCAAACAGCATCATATAACTTGTCTAAACATTAAAAAATAGAATTAAAGTACTTTCATATTATCCATATTATTATTAGTTATAAGTTTCGAGGGTACTGTTGTGACTCCGGGCATATTTTATAAAATTTTTTTAAAATGAAAATCACATAATTTTTTACATTTTTATTTTTAAATTGTTTATTTATTAACAATATTCTTTAAATAGTTATATGATACCAGACATAAATTATTGTTTCATCTTTTAATTATATTTCAACTAATTTTGAAAAAAAATATTTTTTTTGACATCCTTGCAGTTATGCCATGCTGCAAACTTTAGAACCTATGTATATAGTACACACATTTACACAAATGTGTCAGCAGCTGAATTTAAATTGTTGATTCAGCTCATAACAAACACAAATTTTCAATGTTTTTTTTTTGTTATGCTGAAATAAATGGAGGGAGGGGGGGGGGATGTCTCTTTGCCCCATCTCGAATGATTGTCTTCATTCGCAAATAGAATAAATAGAGAGTGTAGAGCTTAGAATCAGGGATTTTCCTTTCAATTTTTCCTGTTCAGTTTTCTTATTTCTTCTTGTTTCTTGTTTCTACGTTTTAAGGCCTCTCCTAATAGTTCATGTGACATGAGTTGTGGAGCAGGTAAGAGAGAGATAAGAATGTTTTGAGAAGGAGGATGAGGATAGAGGTGTAAGGGTAACAGCTAGGTATGAGATAAAACAAAGCCCTCACTGTTGATGTGTTCTCCCCCGTGGATCGATTTTAAAGAAAATTAAACCGCTAAACATGCTGTCCCATCGCTTTTTAACACGGGGAGTTTGTCTTTCACCTATCATTGTCAGAGGTCTGCCATGAGTAATCCAGTTTTCATTACGAATAGGGTAAAAAAAATCAGTTTTTGGCATTTGATTTAAAGTCTGTTTATCAAGCTTTCCACTCAGTTGTGGAGAGAAGTGGCCTTGATGTCTAGACTATAACATCTAGTACAACGCCCTTTCTCTCAAAAGGCTTAGAAAGCTCTCCTGACAACCTTTCTCTGTTAGGTTCGGATAAACAATAAAAATCACTTGTAATTACAGCAACAGTTCCATGATAGGGCACTGTTGTGTGTGCACTGTCCATGCTAAAAACTCTGAGTTAAAAGTTTTGAAAAGTAAATGAAAATATATTAATTTTTAAATTACCATTCATAAATTCATAAAAAATTCATTAAAAATTATTGCTATAATGACCCTTCACAATTAGCCAGGTGAACTAGAAAATAGGAACTCTCTCTGTCCCTTTTGGCAATTCAAAAACATTCTAGTTAGTATTTATTGTCTGAGTTTAAGAGAAAATCAAATTTAGTCTATTGAATACGTTTCTTAGAACATTTGGCAAATAATAAAGGTTTCATATTTGAATACAATTGTGTCTATTTAAAATCACTGCTGAAAGAAAAAAATTTGTCGGAAAAAACGCAATAGCTTTAAAGTTTTAGTTAGGTTTTTACAGTCAGTTCGTTTCTTAGAACATTTGGCAAAAAAATAAAGGTTTCATATTTGATTACAATTGTGTCTATTTAAAATCACTGCTGAATAAAAAATGTGTCAGAAAAAACGCAATAGCTAAAAAGTTTTAGTTAAGTTTTTACAGTCTGATTTTAAATAGTGTCTCTGAAACTCAATACTTCCGTTTTTCTGGTCACTTCTTTAAAATAAATTTTGGCAATTCCTTAGATTTTAAATAATTTATTTAAAGACAGGAGTGAATATTTTTTAAATTTTTGCTGATTTGAAAAAAAATGATAAATTGGATATATAAGCAAGTTTTGTTCATTGCTTGTTGATCCTATTTACCAAAAGATGATTTATATTCCCAAAATTGAGCTAATAAACCCTAAAAAGACATTCATTACTTTTAGGATAAATTTTGTTTTAAAAGAGGAAGGGGGGGGGGATTTTTCGAGAAAGTATATACCCTATTTTAGTAAAAACCCTTTTTTAACTAATTGTCTAATTTTGTGTGTTATTACCTTAGATAAGATGAGATAGAGGAAGGATCTGAACCCCCCTGGCCCCCACCCCCCATCTTGGAGTGGTCAGACCGCCATTGGGACTAGCACCACAGAGCTCTGGCACCCCCCCCCCCATTTAACATAATCATTATTTTAAAGTACCCACTGTATTACCTTAGTATTGAATGCAAATGCAATTCCTCTGAGATCTCTTGATAGTCCTATCACCGTCTTCCGTACTTCCTCAGTACAGTTTCCACTCAACAACAACTGTACATAAGCAGATATAATCACTAGTGTACAGTTAACACTCAACAACAACTGAACATAAACAGATATAATCACTAGTGTACAGTTACCACTTAACAACAACTGTACATAAAGAAAATATAAACTCTGTACAGTTTACACTCAACAACATCTGTACATAAAAAAATATAAACTCTGCACAGTTAGCACTTAACAACAAGTAAATATAAAAACAAATATTAACATTCATTTTTAAATAAGTTCAAGTAGTCACTTAAAAGAAAAGCAAAAAATAGCTAAAATGTCTTAAGATTAAATTCTGATGAGAAAGGAATCATAAAAGTTGTTTACCTGACCCAGAGATTTGAACGCTGTAGTGAGGGAGATCATAAAAGTTGTTTACCTGACCAAGAGATTCAAACGCTGTAGTGAGGGAGATCATAAAAGTTGTTTACCTGACCCAGAGATTTGAACGCTGTAGTGAGGGAGATCATAAAAGTTGTTTACCTGACCAAGAGATTCGAACGCTGTAGTGAGGGAGATCATAAAAGTTGTTTACCTGACCCAGAGATTTGAACGCTAAAGTGAGGGAGATCATAAAAGTTGTTTACCTGACCAAGTGATTCGAACGCTGTAGAGAGGGAGGTCATAAAAGTTGTTTACCTGACCAAGTGATTCGAACGCTGTAGTAAGAGGAATCATAAAAGCTTCAAACTTTTCCTCATCTTCGCCTAGCTCTACCATCAATAATCTACCCAGAGAAGTGTAGAACATAGACCTTAAACATCAATATTCAAGAGCAGTGCAGCGGTAAAAGCAGTGCTTAGGATCGGAATCCGGGTCTGCTGAATCCGCAACATTTTGACTTCTTGTATCCGCGGATTCTAGGGGCAAAAATCAACCAAAAACGTGCTGCAAACAAAATCTTATTTTCTTAAAACAAAAAACTGAACCATTTGAAAAAAGTTTCTTTTCTCTGAAATCTTAAAGAAATGTTCATGAACTAGATCCGGATAATTTTTTTTCCAATGCAGATCCAAGATCCGGATCAATCCCGCATCAAAATTAAATGGATCCTAAGCACTGGGGGTACATCTCACTGAGTAAAAGGTTAGATTTCTAAGAACTTTCTAAGACTGGCTATTTTATAAACAAAGTTGCAAAATGTTACGTCTTCAAGGCGGATGGATTCAGCCTGCTTATAAACAGTCTTATCGATATTTAAGAAAGGGTCGACTTTGAAATGTCGCAACGCCTTGGGCTTAGATTTTACTGCTCTAACTCACAAATGCTTTTCTGTAGCCCTTTACGTGTACATTTTAGCACTATAAGGCATTTGTTAGCTTTTGTTTTTAAGAGGAGCGAAAGAGCTTAAAATCACAGTGAAGGGAAAGTAAGCACAATTTCAAGTGAATTCAAACAAAAATAACAATACCGGATTTACGACTGAAAGTTTAACAGTTTTTTTTCTGATGCAAGTACATATTAGATATTAATATCTATAGCAAATCCAACGTATAGAAACCGCTACATATAGCAACAAGGCGTATTTTCCGGTAGAACATTTTTTATGATTATGACAATTATAAGCTACAATGTTTTACAAATACGTTTAACTTCTCAAAAATATTAAAAAAAATCTTCTCCCGGAAAATACGTCTTGTTGCTATACGTAGCTGTTTATATACGTTGGATTTCTATAAGGTTTGACTTCATTTCTAGCATGTTTAACTGTTAATTTTCATTTACGGTTCCTTTGCGAAAGTGACTTGTGCATTTCTTGTTGTTTAAAAGAAGTAATTGAGAAATTCACAGAAATAAACACTTTCCAAGTAAGAAACACGACGGTATTCAACATTTTGGATCTTATAAAGGTTTCAAGGGTATCGTTGTAAACTGGACATTGCCATATATGCATGAAGAGAAACTTAGAATTACGCTTACAGTCCCTTTAATCTTAATATCCGTAATGATGATGAATGCACAGGATAACCCTTAGGCTTATTCCTTCATCTTTTGCTTCGCCATTTTTTTTGCATTCATAGAAGCACTTATAATGAAGAAACAGGAAATCATGATTTCAGATTAATTTCAGGTTGTTTTGAGTCCCATTCATGAAAGTTAACCTTATGACTTTATTTTTCTCTCGGTGAAAATAACAAGATCGTATATTTCTAGAAAATATTCTCAACCCAGCCCACATATCATCTTTCCACAAAAATAGCTAACAACAGGGTACACCATCCATGTTTATCACTTAAACTAAACATGTAAAAACGCTTGCAAACTAATATCCTATTTTGAATACTTTTTAATTTTTCATCCTGGGATATGGAAACTGTTAATTACCCCTGTATAACTGAAAACAAAAACATACTGGGATATGGAAACTGTTAACTACCCCTGTATAACAGACTGAAAACAAAAACATCCTGGGATAGGGAAACTGATAATTACCCCTGTATAACTGAAAACAAAAACATACCGGGATTTGGAAACTGTTAATTACCCCTGTATAACTGAAAACAAGAACATACTGGGATATGGAAACTGGTAACTACCCCTGTATAACAGACTGAAAACAAAAACATACTGGGATATGGAAACTATTAATTACCCCTGTATAACTGAAAACAAAAACATACTGAGATATGGAAACTGTTAATTACCCCTGTATAACTAAAAACAAGAACATACTGGGATATGGAAACTGTTAATTACCCCTGTATAACTGAAAACAAAAACATCCGGGGATATGGAAACTGTTAATTACTCCTGTATAACTGAAACGAAAACATACTGGGATATGGAAACTGTTAATTACCCCTGTATAACTAAAAACAAAAACATCCTGGGATAGGGAAACTGATAATTACCCCTGTATAACTGAAAAGCATTTATAACTTCTGGAGAAAATATTATTTTCAAGGGGGGGGGGGGAGAAAGAAAATATAATATAAAATATATATATATCAGGATTCATGGTCCTAAGGACCCTTGAGACTAACCTGCAACGCATTTCAGTAACAGACACATTTGCCCCTAGGAACGGGTAGTGTTCAGCTGTATGGTTAGCTAATAGGAAACCAACCTAGATATTTAGATAGATAAATTCTTATTCTTATTAACAATCAACCTACAGATAAAGTACCGTGACCTGGTGGCTTTAATACAATGAAAGATGGGGGATATTTAGATGTGTAACTAGATGGATAAATATATATTCATGTATATATATATATTTGAATTACATATACTAAATATAATAGAAAGATCTATTGCGAAGGTTTAAGCTTTAGTCAGCAAAAAATTCATATACATTTTTGTTCTTTGCATTAACATATCAAAAACTCTAACTTCTGCACTAACAAGGTGCAAAGTCAAATCAAATCAGAATCTTAATGTAAATTGTTTATTGTGTATCCTCTATGGCATTTCTTGCACATTAATAATTGTTTATAACTTTAGTATTTCTAATATAACTTTAATTAATTATTTTTGCTTTTAAAATTTAGTCAAGAAGATTTAATATCAGGAGTTTTGATGAAATAGTCCAAATATTTTGAATTAGATTTTGCTAAATGTACAGGGTGTGGTGTCCCACGAAACATGACAGTATGCAAGAGGCCTTGAATGTCGTCTTGATTTTTGATATAATTTGCTGCGTTTATTTGTCAACCTAATTTTAGAAGTAAATTTCTAGAGATAATAATCACAAAACTCCCCTAGTCCTGCCATTTCCAAAATGTGGTCTGCAATTTTTGTGCTTTCAATATTGCCCGAGATATGAACAATTTCGTTTAGATTTCGACAATTTTGCTTTTATTTAACAAAATTGAAATCTGAACCAATTTCTTTATATCTCCGGTAATATTGAAAGCACAAAAAACGCAGACCACTTTTTGGAAATGCCAGGGCTAGGAGAATTATGTGATAATTGTTTCAAGAATCATACATGTTAAAGTAGATAGAAGACTAAATGTCACAAATAAATTCAAATATCAAAGACGACTTTCAAGTCGTCTTGCTATTGTCATGTTTCGTGGGACACCCTGTATCTGTTTTAAAGCATAGCAACATAGTTTCCTACGTGTTATTTACAACATTATTTTCCAGTCAGTCTGTCAATATATTTTTTGAAATCAATTTGAAAAATTAAGCCCAGAAAAATGTCGACTGTTTTTAATTGGAACATGAATGGTAAGTTCCGGTTTTACAAGAACTTTTAAATACAAGAATGAATAATTTATATGTTGAAGGATTCGATGATTACGTAATAACTGAAATGATAAATATGTAATGAGTAAAAATCAATGTTGTCTATTTGTGAATAATTTTGCATATTTTTCTCTTTTCTTTTGGAAACCTGTATTTTCAAAAAAAAATATTTTAACAAATTTAAACTACACCATTTATATATGTATTTATATCTTTGTGTGTGAATAAATCTTAATGATTATAATTGAACAGGAAAATCCGTGAAAATGTTTGCAGAATAAGATGAATACTGGAGACTAACAAAGCATCAGTAAAAACCTAAAATTTTTAATAGATATTTAAATTTCCTACTGATGAGACAATAATATTCATCGACAACATTTTATTTAATTTAAGATGAAAATATAGTATTCTTTTCAGATGAATTAAAGTTTCTGTATGAAACAATACTGTTTTTACAACTGAATTCTAGGAGAAGGGAACCAAATGAGGAGTATCGGTTTCAAGCTGAATTCCATTTTACATTGGATTGGAGAATCAAGATCCCCTCCCCTGAACACCTGTCTATTGGGTGTATAACAAACGTAAACGAATATATTAAGATGGTCAGTTGGAAAAGACCTTGTTTAAATTATATGATGTATACAAATTGGAGATATAGGATTATTACAATTTTTAACGGAATATCACAGAATTAGCATGAATGAGCTTTCGTTCATGTTATATATCTCGTTTTATAAAGGTTTATGCTAATGCTATAAACTAATTTGCGTGAATTAACACTTAAATATTTAGAAATTTTGTTACAGTTGCCGTCGTTTATATCAATACGATAAAGACATCTTTCTATTTAAATTTTAATTTCTATCAAGCTTTCAAACTGATTGGATACAAATATAAATGGAAACAAAGAGAAGCTGTCAATATACAGATTCGTTTAATGTTTATTTATGAACTTATAATTCGTAAGCGTATTAGAAATTATAACCTATACACAAAATGTCGTCTTCATTGTATTGATACAAACGCAGACCTCTGTAAGACAACTGAGAAAAACTACAAACCTCTTCCAGTTTAACCAGTTTCCTGACTGTTCCATATCCTACAGATAAATCAGACAACAGCTGAAGAGTCTTGTTGATTATAAGCTCACAGGATCCAAGGTATTTCAGGTTAGTGATCACTTTTCTAAATATTTCAGGTTAGTGATAACTTTTCTAAATATTTCAGGATTGTGATCACTTTTCTAAATATTTCAGGTTGGTGACCACTTTTCTAAATATTATAAGTTTGTGATCACTTTTTTTAATATTTCGGGATTGTGACTACTTTTCTTAATATTTCATATTCATGATCACTTTTCTAAATATTTCAGGTTAGTGATCACTTTCCTAAATATTTCAGGGTATATATCACTTTTCTAAATATTTCAGTTTGTTTTATGGAATTTTATAACTGTTCACCATAACTATCCTTGAAGGCGTTTCTTTTGTATATTAGGTAAGTTTCATTTTTCTAATTATTAGTTATAGAGTGTCTACACTTTTCAGAATTTAAAAAAATGGAAATATTTTGTTTACGCATTTGAACTTTAAAACCTCATTTGTATTTGAAAGTGTTGAGTGCTGAAGTCAATTTTAAATCTAAAATTAGATTTAAAGTTTCCAATAGTATTGTACGAAAATCAGTTTCGATAAGCCTTTTGGAAAAATACTGCTTAAACACTCCACATCAAGAATTGAGAGGAATATGAAATATATTGAAAATATAATGTTTTAACGATGAAATTATCGCTGTAATGTTACCTGATGATTACACTGAGAACCATTGTCTCATCATTCAAACCAAGAATCTCAGATAATCTTCTATACACCTTACTTGTCTTCTGAATCTATATAAATAAAGTCCATGTTTCGATGAAACAAAGTGTGGAGGGCCAGGCTATACACCTTACTTGTCTTCTGAATCTATATAAATAAAGTCCATGTTTCGATGAAACAAAGTGTGGAGGGCCAGGCTATACACCTTACTTGTCTTCTGAATCTATATTCACGCCCATTTTTATAATATATTATATATTATACCACATTCTTGTCGGATTTACTACGGAGCCAAATCAGGAATAATTCTTGTTATTCGCTCACATTTCGTGTAAAGGTGGTGTAATATCATCATGCGTAGGAAGAAAGTGTAATAATCAAAATTATTGTTATAATATTGATTATTACACTTTCTTCCTACGCATGATATACTATTAACTATGTCGAAGTGTTGAGGATATATTGTTTTATTCTCTGAAATGGGGCAAATAATGTTTTTTTAGGGGAACCTATTTTAACATCTGGGTAAAAAGCATCGAAAAATATTTTCATCAAAATTAATTTCCCCCTTGTATTTCTTGAATTTAAATTCGAAATATCCCCCCCCCGTTTTTTGCTTTCTAATTCACCTAAACTTGATTGGCTATGAAGAAATCAGAGCAGTTTTTTGAGAACTGCAGTTTTAGAATATTTTTTTCAAGAGCTGGAAACTTTTATATCATGGATGTTGAGATCAATGCTTGATCTTTTGATAATCTGCAGATTGATTTAATCTTTATTCGATATTCCGCATAGTGATCGCACCTAGTCAGGGATTGAAGAAAGTTTTGATCCGGGTTGGAATATATAAATTAGAGATATGGAAAGGAAAGGTATAGTTATTTATAGATAATCAAATTTAAAATTCCCCACATTGGATATCGAGATCATTCGATCGGGATTATGAGCATCCAACAAAAAAGTTTCCAGCTCAAATCTCTTTCTGACGTTTAGCATTGATTATGTATTATTCTTTAAAGGGAGTGTCTGGCTTGACAGGTAGTTGAGCTGAGATGCCTGATATTGAAGAGAACTATTTAAGAAATCATGCTGGGCCGCATTAAATTACAAGAACAGAGAGATTAGTTTATATTTTAGGGTTAGGCTATGACACTTTATGGGCCGAACAGGACAGGCTAGGGGGCCGAGTGCTGCGGCTTGGACAGGCTAGGGGGGCCGAGTGCCGCGGCTAGAACAGGTTCTCTCTCTGTCTTGTAATTCAACGCGGCATCCGCACGTAATTTCCTTGTCTTATGAAGTAAATTTTCACTCTTTCTGAACAATTATATACCGAAAAAACGTCTTATAGGTTTCAATGATTTATAAAATTTCTCAGCATAAATACCATGTCTAGCAAGACAATCCCTGTGAGCTTACCTGATCTCCAATGTATATTTTTCTGAACTGCTCGAAGAAGGAGAGGAGGGCCAACTCTAATTTTTCACACCCACCCTCACTTCACAATACCAATCCAGTTTTAATATATTCCCCAACATTTTATGACTGAACATTATTGATCAAATCTCAATACAAATATAAAAAATAAGGTAATTTTTTTTAAATTATAGAAACTTTATTAACAAATGTTAGGTACCAGCAATTGTCTTACAAATTACTTTCATTTAAGGGGTTGATCATTCACTTTGTTAGAAGTGTAGCATTTAATTTAGATTCCCATAAAGGTTTATGATCAAAAATAAATTAAGACAGTTGTTCTTAAATTAAAGATTTTTCTGAATATTTTTCAAAACATTAAGATTTTAAAACATTTTTTAAATCGCAAAAAAACAGCTAAATCGGTTAAAACTAAATACAAGATCTTAACCAATTTCAGATCTGGACAAGATTAGCAGCAGTGTACTTTACTAAAAAGAATCTTAACTAATGCATATGGTTTAAAAATTGGTAAAGAGAAACTGTTTAGGATAAGTTCTCTGAAAAGAAATCCCAAGATGTAAAGATATCAGCTTAAGAACATAAAAATCCTGAGACAAATAATTCTGAGGTCAAGCTATACTTTAAACTAGATCTTCGGAAGATAATTTGACAAGAATATGCAAGATTCAAGGACACCTCAAAGATCAGGGATAGTTTGGAAATAAAAAAATTGGAACAATTTTCAACCCATAGCTGTTTTTAAGCCAAATCTTCAATATAAAAACATAAGGCTTTTCATGCAAAAGGATTTTCTTTGAAAATACTAAATATTTTTAAGGTGTCAAAAAAAATCAAAACTTAAAAATGAGAACTTCTAAGAACTTCATGAACCATAAACCTACTCGACTATCAATATGCAAGTTTGTTATGATTTTCAATATCTAATAAATATAAAACACAGCAATTGAATAGTTCAGTTTGAAGCCACTGGAAAAACTATCTGCTTGTGTTAAACCATCAAACACACATGATATTAATTAGATGTCGCCTTCCTAGTCCACAATTTTATAGGTCCCACTGTATCCTCCCGAAAATGTGGAACAAAATGAAGTTTGTAAGCCAAATCATAGATTTGTCAGAAAAAGCCCTAAAATCCGTATGGCCACTTTGCAAGAACGTACAGCTACTGTAAGGAAAAAGGAAACATATTGACTAAATGAATGTGGCCCAAAAATGAATATTGAATTATTACAAGGGTATAAAACTAGATGTAGGTGATCCAAATGTTGAAGATGAATTCTGAATACTGACAAGTTACAAGGTCTAATTTTGTCTGGAAAGTTTCCTAAGACGACTATCCGTTAATTGCATCAATTGTAGTACGCGGCAAACCAGTTCTCCTGAAATATTCATTCTTAATAATGTGAGTCCTACTCCTAATACCCATAAAGGATAAGACTGAAAAGACGACCTGAAACTCTTAATATGACGACGATTCCAAGATTAAATGAAGTCTTCTGCCTTAAAAAATCGTCTTTAAATAGTCCCATTAATGAACAGACAGGGACAATTCCCTACAGTCGTCTCTGAAGTCTCATTCTTTGTGGGTATGACTGTATATAAAATTCAGAAACCTTAAGGATTTAGGTTAAACATTTTTTTGTCAATTGAATAAAATTCACTGCATTTTTCTATTCCACAGAAATTTAAATCCGTTGAAACTTTTAAAATATTTTTTGGGAGGCATGTATAGTTTAAGTTAGTCAAATTTGGGTTCCTCTTGAAAACATAAAACATTTACAGTTAGGAATAATAGAAAGAAAATTAAGGTACTCAGTGATTTTTGTCCAAACAAATTCTATTTTTACTGATTAGCTTTTTTTGTTCTTATTAGATCAGTAAAAGAAAAATTCCTTATTTTCACTTACCATCCTAAGCATCATGATAAGTTATGCTGTTAAAACTTACCATCCATAGCAACATGATCATCTATGCTGTCAAAACTTACCACCCGTAGCATCATGATCATTTATGCTGTTGAAACTTACCATCCATAGCATCATGATCCCATATGCTGAGAAAACTTACCGTCCATAGCATCATGATCCCATATGCTGATAAAACTTACCGTCAATAGCAGTATGATCATCTATGCTATTAAAACTTACCATCCATAGCATCATGATCATCTATGCTGTTAAAACTTACACGTCCTCCTACTGCACTTCCTAAAATAAATTTACAAATATAAAGGAACGACTGTAGACGTAGTTTTAAGTAACTCTCTTTTTTGACAATTTTTTTTTTTAAACCCGAGACCCTTCCCCCCTTAAGGGGATGGGGGAGAGGGGGATCCCAGGACCCCGAAAACCCCAAGTGGGAATAAAAGCAACCCAACATTTATTTTTGATATTTTCAAACTAATTGGTATTAGAAATAGTTTGTGCATTCTTCTTATCTAAAGTAACTATGTATTAAAGGGCTGGAATGTAGGATTTACAACAGTAAAATTTAAACCTAGTTTAGAAGTCATCAAATAACGAGACACGACCTTATGTGTTTGTCAAAATTGCCAAATTGATGGAGAAGCCATTTTTCTTGAATTTTTAAATTTTGTTTTAAATTGTACAAAATATGAGTTTGCCGGCTGTAATTGACAAACAATAACAAACGTATCCGCATTACATACCGTGCTTCGTGCATTCAAGAAGAATTAAAGAATATGTAGAAAATGCCTGAACTCCTCCTTAGTCATAAAATTAAAAGATGATTGTCCTTGTATAATACATCAAAAACTAAACCAACGCTTGAAAAATAAAATACATAAAGAAACTTACCTATAATGTAAACAAGCCAGGTTAGCCGTCCTTCAGCTATCGCCAGATCAATTTTAGATGTGTGATTACTGCACATTTCCTGACAAAACAACTTATGATAGCTGGGAGCTTTAGAATAGGATACCTTTAATCCCGACTGCTTATTCCGAATATCCAATGTGGACACTTTTAATTTCAATTGCGTAATCCACTCTTTTTAGGATATAGTACAGAAAAATCAAAAACCGGTTTTTCAAAATTAGAGAGGAGTCCCTCAAATTTAAAATTTTGCGGCTTCTGATACCCAACTCTGATTGGTTGAATTTTATACACTTTTTTGGATACAAGTACAAGATTAGGTTAGTCTCGATATTAAGAAAAAGAGAGGATCAAGCATTAATCTTGATATCTACCATTCTAAAGTTTTCAGCTCAGATTAACTAAACAAAATGTCTAAAATATATTTAAACGATTACACTATTACTTTTTTTTCTTACAAATATAAATCTTTATTTTAGTTTCAAGCAGAATGATTTTTCTAAATAATATGTTGTACGCTGTGTGCTTCGAAATATTTTTTTTGTTTTTAATCTTTGTGAAGAAACAATCTCAAGAACTGACGAGGGTCAACCCAGACCGAAATATATTTTCAATAAATGTGGAACTAACATCTACTTTTTTACTCTACAGAGGTTTGGTCCATCACCATCACTGAATTTTAGATCGAAATATTTTGTCATTTATTTTTAAAATTTTCCACAAAAATTGTCTGAACCTTAAAATATGTGCCAGGTAAAAGGAACAATTAATTTATTAAAGGTAGATTTTTTACTCTCCTTATCAAGTTCAACGATTTTATCTCACTTGCTGAACGACTTTAAAAAAACCGCTGGATTTTCAACTTACTGCCGAATTATACTAAACTTAAAACTTAAAATGAAGAGTTGATTTTGTCTGGGCCGGCATTTTTTAACCGAACTCCTCTGCCTCAAAAATCGTTTCTTTAAATACTAGCTTGATCATTTTTAAATGTTGGGGAAAAATTTCAGTTGCCTCAAAAATCGTTTCTTTAAATACTAGGATATCTTGATTATTTTTAAATGTTGGGGAAAAATTTCAGTTTAAAAAAAAAAAGGATTAGTTAAAGGGACTGTAAGCGTAATATCAAGTGACCCTTTGTACAGATGGCAATGCCCGATTTACAACGGTACCCTTAAAACCTTTTTCCGATAAATACTATTTCTAGACATAAAGAGGTTATTTTTCAAAAATAAAATGCTATACGTGCAGTAGAAATGCGTAAGTCACTTTAGTAAGCAAACCAAAACTAAAAATAATCTGCAGCTAGCTAAAATCGTTTATAGAATCTTTTAATTTTTTTTAGACTTTTTTAAGGTTTTACGACTTATCTGAGAAGGATCCAACGATTAAAAAATGTATTTAATAGAAGTTTGCTTTTTATCAAACATGAAAATTTGTTATTTTGGGTGAAAATATAAGGCAAAAACGAACCAATAACTATTTTTACCAAAAACGATTTTGCCTTACATTTCCGTCCAAGTTAACAAGTTAAATTTGCATGTTTGATAACAGCAAATTTCTACAGAATATAGTTATAAAATGTTGTAACCTTCTCATATTGACGTTAAACATTTTAATAGTAAAAAAATAAAAAAAGTTTCTGTAAACGAATCTGGTTATTGACCATGCCATCCTTATGGAGTTACGCGCGCATGTCGAGTTGAATTACAAGACAGGCCCCTAGCCTGTCCAAGTCGCAGCGCTCTGGCCTGTAGCCTGTTCTAGTTGCAGCGCTCGGCCCAAAAACCTAGCCCTTCAATATCAACTAATCTCTCACATACTTGTAATTCAACACGGCAAGCGTGCACAACTTTGTACTGTAAAGTGTACTGTAGTTTACCTGATAAGCCCGTGCATCTGTATCAAAGAGTTGAACTAGAAGTTGACAGGATTTACTGTACTCACATCGAGCTACAACAACACCAAAATTATTACAATGACATTTTTTCATAAATATTGTACACTCTTAAACTCAGAGTCTGCAACTAAAGAATGCGGGAAATTTAGCTGAAACGTTCTGAAAAATAATGAATTCAGAGTTTAATTTAACTTAATCATAGACTTTTTTCATTAAAAATTTGGTTTATTTGAATTCCTGGGGTTAAATATAAACGCTATAACTTAAATTTAAGGTTTAATTTAAGTAACGAGCGGCATTTAAGATGCAACTTAACATTTAAGTCGTAACTTTTCATTCTTTAGTTTTCGACTCAATGTACAATGTACATAAAGTCAGTGCTTCATATTCGGATCCGTTACATTTAAGATACCCGGACCCGAATCAAAGTAACAGAATCACCAATCAAAACATAGAAATTAACACTAAACTTAAGAATTAAATAACAAAATAATACAGATCATTCAATGGTACATCAAGTTTCTGCACAAAAATAAGCAACAAATAAGAAAATTAAGAAATTTGTTTTGGACAGTGTTCATAAAATATGAAAGGTGTGTTCACCTAATCAGTGTTCATAAAATATGAAAGGTGTGTTCACCTAATCAGTGTTCATAAAATATGAAAAATGTGTTCACCTAATCAGTGTTCATGAAATATGAAAGATGTGTTCACCTAATCAGTGTTCATGAAATATGAAAGGTGTGTTCAACTAATCAGTGTTGGATTTGTAACATTTCTAATTCAGAGCCTGAGATTTAAATTATTGCGTGCAATAATACTTAAGACTAAGCTATCATCGAGCCTAATTTAAGACTAGAGCTTTGTGATAAGTTGGGACTACTTTTTCCTGGTTGGAAATGCGTAAGTCGAAATTAAAAACTTGTGAACCTAAAACATGAGCATAATTAATTTACAGTTTATACAATGTCAGTTAAAGAAGATTGATAGTCAAATAGTAGAAGATAATGCTCGGTACACTTGTATATGACGTCATTTGCTGCCGTATTGGTTTTGAATTCAAACTATCAACATTGAAACTTTAGTTATTTAATCATTTACTATGTGCTAAAAATGGTCAGGAATTAACGAAACGTTTATAAACTTCTAAAGTTTGATCAGGACAGGATGGTCTCCTGATAAAATAAAGCCAAAATTATGCAATTGTTACGCATCTCATTTGAATGGGAATTACAAAATATTATAAAGCAAAGTATGTCGAATGTCATTAAGTTTAGTTTTCTATTAATTTAATGCAGAATTTTAGTCCGGTAAAGTGAGTAAGACCCCAAGACCTTGGTTTTTGAAGGGATCAACAATTGCAAACCAAACATTGCAATCTGTTTTAAGATAAAATTTATCCACAAAGATGTTATAGTTATGCATTTCTAACGGCAAATTACGTAAAAAAAACAAGTTATTGGTGAGAGATATGCTATAAAAGTCCTAAGATTTTTTAAAAATAGAAAAGACGACATTCTGTGGCTTCTTAATTACACTAATTGAGGTGTGTAGTTTTGCGTAAAAATCTCTACGTCTACGTCTACGGTGTATACTACGCTGAACACTACCCTACCTGACAACGACAGCCACACTCTCTAGTCTGCTGGTGATGTATGCCTGGGTCACTTCAGGAGTATAGGTTTCCAGTAGATGGGGTTCAGTAGCCTAATCAATCAATCAATCAAACTTAAATCAAACAATAAACTAGTCGAATGATTACCAAAATAACGGTTCCCTAAAAAAAAAAATAACACTTAGACCATCGGCAACGTCGGGAGCAAGACTAAAAAAATAAAATGTTTAATAAAAGATCCTAACAAAGAAGTATTTTTATTAAAAATTGCAGTTAATTCCGTTTATTTAATATTTCCCACATGTTAAAATTCTCCGGACCGGGTACCCCCCCCCCCCCCAGGGACAACACATTTCCCGAGGTGTTGGATAGGTAGACGGTAAGGTATCATTTAGAGTTATCTGATCAATTTAAAAAAAAACAAAAAAAAACAATATCAATCAAGGAAGTATTTCTTTTCAGGATATTAGACTACCCGACCCCCCCCCCCCATGAAAAATGTGTGTCACCTAAAACATCAATATTTGAAGGTGGTTGGGGAAATACCAGAAACCAGTTGGTTTGTTCGTTTTCAATTTGATTCCAATTATTTAGCCATCTATAATACCAATAGAATATGTCTCTTATCCAAATTCTTCCCAGTTTGACGTGAGAGGGCTTATTGAAGGCATTCTTTACAGTTAAAAGTGAGAAGGCTTAATAAACGCAATACCTCTTTACAGTTTTAAATGAGCGGACTCAATAAACGCAATAACTCTTTACAGTCTTAAGTGAGAGGACTTATTAAACGCAATACTTCTTTACAGCTTTAAGGGAGAGGACTTAATAAACGCAATACTCCTATAGAGTTAATAGCGAGAGGACTTAATAAACGCAATAATTTTTTACAGTTTATAGTGAGAAGACTTAAATAACGAAATAATTCTTTACATTTTATAGTGAGAGCACTTAATGTAAACGCAATAATTCTTTACAGTTTTTAGTGAGAGGTCTTAAAAACGTAATAATTCTTTACAGTTTAAAGTGAGAGGACTTAATAAACGCAATAATTCTTTACAGTTTAAAGGGAGAGGACTTAAATAACGAAATAATTCTTTACAGTTTATAGTGAGAAGACTTAAATAACGCAATAATTCTTTACAGTTTATAGTGAGAAGACTTAAATAACGAAAGGTCTAAAACGACCAAGCTAGTTTAACGCTTGATTCACTTCTAAATGAGAGAGAATGGGTCCCCAGGGTGCCAGCGTGCACCGGCCCCACGCTTAAAATGTAAAATGTAAAATGCTAAATGGACATTAATTAATTAATCAATTAAACTCTGAAGTGAACCAAGCATAGTTTAGCTGTGTTAGTTTTATTACTAAGTGTAAAGGAACTAGATGCCTGAAAAGTTAGGTGTAAGGGGCGCCAAAAGATCCCTTGTGTAGTGGGGTGTAAGGGGCACCCTGAGATCCCTTAGTTTATTTGACTGTGTAGATAGTGATAAACTAAATAATGGCAGAAGCTCAGGATCCTGATATTGATTCAGCACCTGAGGAGGAGATATGTCTGTGCTGTCAAAAAGTATTTACTAAGAGAGATGGTTGTGTCCAATGCTTTCTCTGTGAGCTTTGGGCTCATGTTAAATGCTCAGGGCTCTCATCTGAATGCATGAAAGCCCTTGGAAGCAAAAAGAATGATGGAATTGCTTGGACCTGCAGAGCCTGTAAAAGCTTTGCAACCAAGTACAGTAAGATAAACCTTAAGATAGATGCTAGGCTTGATAAACTGGAGGAACAGATAGATAAAGTTGAAGAACTTCAGGAAGAAGTTAAAAAGCTCAATAAGAAAGTAGAGTTGATTGAATCTTTTTTCAAAACTAATGATAATGATAGCTTTATGGATGAGCTTAGAGAACGTGATTATAGGAAAGAAAACATTCTACTCTATGATCTACCAGAGCCAACAGCTAGCACTGGAGAGCAAAGAGCTAGAATGGATCTGAACCGACTGAAAGATATCCTTGACCAACTGAAGATAAGGATTGAAGATGATGATGTCAAGTTTATGATAAGAGTAGGACGATTTGATAATACTAAGATGCGACCTGCTCTGGTTGGCATTCCCAATTCAAATCTTAGAGAAAAAATACTGAGCAAAGCCCCCCAGCTTAACAATATGAGGCCCCCCTTCAATGCTATTAAGATCGCCAAAGACTTAACAAGGAGGCAGAGAGAAGATGATAAGAACATAAGGCTAGAGGCAGTTAAACTTAATGATTCTCTTAGCGAGGAAGAGAAAAAAAACGTTGTATGGAAGGTGGTAGGAAAAAAAGGAGAGAGAAGACTGATAAAGGGCCGAGTGACAGAAGCAGTACTGAGACACGAAACAGAGCAGAGCAGACATCAAGGAGATATCCAGAATCAACCTCGGGGCCAATCCCAGCGCTACGAAGCACAAGGTTGTCGCCCCAGGCTGAACAACAGAGAGGGAGAAGATTGGGGCAGGGATCGGCGCCAAGGCGCCGCCCAAGCCCACCACCAGGGAGATACTCCCAGAGACTGGGAGAGGGAAGATTTCCCTCAACTCTGGGAGAAACCGGAGAGGAGAACTTCATTCAGAGGAATCGGGAGAGGGAGCAGGAGGTTTTAAATAATCCTTCCTCCCATGATAGTAGTCAAACTTCGAAGGCAGGCAGAAGTACCCTAAATATACTTTATTTTAATGCCCAAAGTGTAGTTAACAAAATGTATGAATTAAATGCAATTGCAAGTGATTTAACCCCTGATATAATCTGTATCTGCGAATCATGGACAAAGGATGATATATCGGATGCACATCTTAACCTGGAAAATTACAATCTTATTACTAGAATAGACAGAAAAGATACAAAGAATGGTGTAGGTGGGGGTTTACTTATTTATGCAAGGACTGATCTATCTGTTTCAGAACTAAATTATGACTTTTTAAATGATTTCAATCAAAGTGCTGCCATATCTGTTAGAAACAATAATGAATTATTCAATATCTGCATCATTTATAGACCCCATAATCTGTATGATACAAGTGATGTCAATGAGAATAATGATAAGCTATGTGAAATCTTAAAAAAACTTCCAAAGCCTTTTTTGATTGTGGGTGATTTTAACTTTTCTGACATTAATTGGTCTGAGGGAAAGTGCACTGCAAAAAGTACTAACTTCTATAATACATTCCTTGATACATTTTTAACCCAACATGTGGATTTTCCAACCCATAAGTCTTGGTACAATGCCAGACTTGGTTCTGTCGTCAAATAGTAATTTAGTCTCCTTAACTGAAAATGTTGGAGTGCTGGGGTCCAGTGATCACTGCATGATTCTGACAACAGTTGATCTTACCCCAAAAAGAAAGAAACTCAATAAAACTTTTTATGACTGGAACAAAACTGATTTTGATGTGCTTAAGAATAGGGTGACAAATGTTGATTGGGAAGAACTTTTAAAGGAGGGGGATGCTAATAGTGCCTGGGAAAGTTTCTCAAATACTTTAAATGTGATAATTAATGAGACAGTTCCACAAAACAAATATAGGGCATCCTCAAGACCTCAATGGATGACTAAAGATGTAATGACTGCAGTGAGACTAAAAAGGAGAAGATGGAAGAATTACACTAGAACTAAAACAAATCAAGATTTCTTTGAGTATAAAAAAGCTGAGAAAGAATTAAAGAAGTTTATCAAAAAAGCAAAAAAGAAATATGAAAAGGACCTTGCCAAAAATGCCAAAACTAATCCTAAAGCTTTTTATGGATACCTGAGTAGCAAGAAAAATAATAGAGTAAAAATAGGCCCCTTAAAAGTTAATGATGTAGTGATTGATGATGAAAAAGAAATGGCCGACACTTTTAATGATTTTTTCAGCAGTGTATTTACCAATGAGAACTTGAACTTTATTCCTAGTGTAGATAATTTAAAGTCTGATCAAAGCTCAGTTTACAATGTGATTTTTACTGAAGAGGTGATTGAAAAAAAACTTGGTAATTTAAAAAGGTTTTCTGCTGCTGGCCCAGATGGTTTCAAACCTGTTATTTTTATAGAACTTTCAAAAGAGTTGTCCAAACCACTGAGTATAATCTTTAATAAGTCAATGTCAAGTGGTATTGTTCCAATTCAATGGCGCCAGGCCAATGTTTCTCCTATTTTTAAGAAAGGAAAAAAAGACGCACCACTGAACTATAGACCTGTATCTTTAACATGTATTGCTAGTAAGGTGATGGAGTCAATTTTGAAAGATACCATTGTTGAACATCTTAGTGAAAACAATCTTATATTTGAATCACAGCATGGATTTATGAGGAAGAAATCCTGTCTTACTAATCTATTAGAATATCTGGAAACGCTTACAGATCTAGTGGACAGTGGTCATGCAGTAGATGTGATTTACCTTGATTTTGCAAAGGCCTTTGATAAAGTCCCTCATCAAAGACTAATAGCCATTCTGAAAGCACATGGCATACAAGAAAATCTTCTGAATTGGATAGAGGCCTGGCTTACAGGGAGACAACAAAGAGTTGTTATTAGTGGAGAAACCTCAGATTGGTTACCAGTTACCTCAGGGGTCCCCCAGGGTTCAGTCCTGGGGCCCATTCTTTTCATCATATTCATCAATTTATTTGATCTTGCTGTGAAAGATAATGTGAAATTATTATCCAAGTTTGCTGATGACACAAAGGTTGGCTGCATAGTTGACACTGAGAATGATGTGAAGAATATGCAATATGTTCTGGATAAAGTTGTAGAGTGGGCTGACTTGTGGCAGATGCAGTACAATGGGGACAAATGTAAAGTACTTCACTTTGGAAGACAAAATACTGGAGCACATTACGCCATGGGAGGGTATGCTCCTGCAGGTTCTATTTTAGAAAAACCAGCTCTGGAGAAAGATCTTGGTGTTATAATAAGCACAGATCTTAAGCCTGCCCTACAATGTCAAGCAGCAGCTAAAAAGGCCAACTCAGTGCTTGGAAGGATGGCAAGAGCTATATCATATAGGGACAAGAGAGTCTGGTTAAGTCTATACAAGGTCTATGTTAGACCTATTTTGGAATATTGTGTGCAAGCCTGGAGACCATGGATGGCCAAAGATGTAAAAGTGTTGGAGGATGTTCAGAAAAGAGCAATTAGAATGACGTCTGGTCTTAAAGGGGATTCATATGAAAAGAAATTAAAGGAGGTCAAGATGACCAGCCTAGAGGAGCGCAGGCAGAGAGGAGATATAATACAAACATGGAAAATTCTGAATGGTAAAGACCAGGTTCAGGAAAACCATTGGTTTCAGAGATATACTGAAAACCAAGGACCTGAAACAAGGCTGTCCTCCAACTCAGTGAACCTTAGACACAAACCCTTTAGAACTGATGTACGCAGACATTCTTATGGAGTAAGAGTACCAAAAATATGGAATGACATTCCTATGGAAGTGAGATCTGAAGTGAAAATTAATCAACTGAAAAACAAATATGATGAATTTATTAGTGCTTAATCTCAGTATGATAACAAGTAATAGGAGTATGGAGACCTTCCAGGAGATTTAAGTACCTGTAAAGCCCATGATCCGCATAACATGGCCACGCACGTGGCTCTCTTTGCGTGACTACTTCAAGTATTCAAGTATTCAAGTATTCAAAGAATTCTTTCCAGTTTATAGTGAGAGCACTTAATATAAACGCTATAATTCTTTACAGTTTTATGTGAGAGGACTTGATAAACGCAATAACTCTTTACAGTTTTAAGTGAGAGGACTTAAATAGCGCAATAATTCTTTACAGTTTATAGTGAGAAGACTTAAATAACGCAATAATTCTTTACAGTTTTTAGTGAGAGGACTTAATAAACGCAATAATTCATTACAGTTTATAGTGAGAAGACATAAATAGCGCAATAATTCTTTACAGTTTATAGTGAGAAGACTTAAATAACGAAAGAATTCTTTACAGTTTATAGTGAGAGGACTTAAAAAACGCAATAATTCTTATCAGTTTAAAGTAAGAGAACTTAATAAAGTACTTTTTTAGCTTCTTCGATTGGATAAACTGAAACAAAGAAGTAATTCTTTGAAAAAGTTATAAAAAAAAAGAATTTAATCAACATTTTAAGGATAAGGGATTTTTTAGGTTCATCATTTTCTCCGGGGATCAGATTTAATTAATGTAAAGTATGATGATTTTAGGACGAATTTTAGGACGAATTTTAGAAAGAAGTTTATTAACATTTTAAGAATAAGGGATTTATTTTAGGTTATCATTTTCTCCGGGGACGATGCTGAGTGGATCTTCTTCCGCCTAACCCGGCGAACAATAAAACTGGTTGACTTAGGACTTCTGATACTTCCCCAAACAGCCCTCCAGGAATGGTCTTCCATTTATAATCGTCAATTTAAATGTATTAGAGTTAGAATTGTCAAATTCCAACTCCTTGATGGCGTCAGAAATAGCTTAAATTATATTTACCCCTAATAAAGCAGGGAAAAGTTTTGGAATCCCTATGGGGACGAGCGATTCCGCAAATAAGAAAAAAAGGTTTGGAATCCGTGAGGGGGAGGTTGCCTTCCCTACCTTGCAAATGGGGCAGTGCACTTCAGTAAGGCTGGGCTAAGAGACCGAACGCTGTGGATAGAATATGCTAGTGACCGAGCGCTACGGCTATGATAGACTTCGGATATGGCAACTTTGGAAATAACACAGTTGTCGCTTTGAAAAAATGTTATGTGAAAGTTCCAAACATCCTTTAGAAGACTAATAGATAGATAATATAAGATCACCTTAACGTAGGGTACACTGGCCACCATCCTCTGCCAGAGTGAGAGAAGGTAGTGGATTGAGTTGGGAGCAAACTGCCACATCTGTAAACTCTCAACAGTAAACTTGGCCATCAGCTGAATACACTCCTAAGCAAAAAATCGGAATTAAAGGGACATTCTTCGTAATATTTAATAAAGTGTTCGCGATAAATGGATGGAGTATGGGCTGATAATGTTTTTGATTTTGATATCAATCGCTACTAATTTTACTTCTATCTGAAAGACTCAGTGAATTTGTACGGGTTCTCAGCTCTTTGGTATAAAGCGTTCTTAACCATTTTCTCCTTAAGACGCAACAGATGTAGGGTTTCCAGCGAAAAAGGAAAATCGTTACGCTTTTTTCACAAAAAAAAAATTTTCCCGAAAGTTTCGGAGTTTTTTGTATTTCGTTTGATCGCGAAAAAATGCAAAATGCGAAATATCCAAATAGGAAATGTGAAAATTTCAAGAAAAAAGGCGAAAACATAATGCAAATATTTCGCGATAAAATTATGCGAAAATACCCGAAAATTTCGCGAAATAATACGGTCCATTTAAAAGATTCTTTCTTGTAATTGGCCGGCTCATTTCTAGTTGGATTTGGGTGAACGTACGGGGACGGACAGAAACTCCAAAAGATAGCTAGAAAACAAGTAGGGGAATCGAAAGTAATGATAATAAAACTTCAAATGTTGAGCTCCCAGAGAATTCCACAAGTTTTTTTGAGCAATTTATTGTTGGAGCTTCAACACTTATGGTTTTCGCTGAATTTTTTTTATCGAAAATATTTTTGTATTTCGCATTTTCGCGAAAAAAATATATTTAACCAAAAAAAGTTTCGCGAAACTCTAATCGTTTAGCATTTTTTCGCTTCATTCATTTTCGCGAAAAAGTTTGCAAAATGCGAAAGAAAAACTTTGCGCTTTTCGCATTTTTTTGCGAAATGTTTCGTTCATTTAAAACCCTAGACAGATGGAAGTAAAATTAGTAACAATTTATAGAGAATTCAATTCGACGTCAGCTTATCCCCCTTTCATTACTCGCTAAAAATGAGTTACAGTGGCTAATATCTTGGAATTGTAACATCGCCGTCTAAAAGATGTTTAGCGCCAAATTATCCTTTTGGAATTTCCAAAATGTGGTCTGTCGTTTTTGTACCTAAAGAATTGAATAAAATATTGAGAAATTTGTCTAAAATTCAAACTATTTAATACAACCGTCGTTGTTTAAATCTTTAGTATCTTCATTAGTTTTTAAAATACAAAGAAGGATACTAAATTTTACCAAATTTTAAAGACTAAATATGTTTTTCTTTACTCCTTTGACAACTTATAACTTAACGAAAATCTCCAGATTACAATGTCTAATTTACTACACGACACCTCACCCAGAAAATGATATCTAATTTTGTATATGATACATATATTCAATTATATATCCATGCCACTGTAAGTCCGATAGAGGGTTAGTGAAGTGCAGCCTTGATGCACACTATTACAAGCCCACCCCTGCTTTATTTGTTCTATACTTTACCGGATAATTATCTACAGTAACTAGTTCTCCTAGCTGATAGTTGGATTTGAGACGAGCAAGCAAACGGCAGAATTCGTGATAATTGTTTGTGTCAGATAACTCCTGCATTATTAGATTATATTTTCAAACTATATCAATAAATCGTTCCTCAATCAATAAATCAACTAAACAATCAATCAGCCATTTAATAAATTAATCAACCAATAAACCGCTAAAATCACAGAATAAATAATTTAATCAATCACTCAATAAAAAAAGGTCAGAATATAAAATATGACAAGGGCATATTTAAATATTTACTTGAAAATTCCCCCCCTCCCCCAGGAATTGTTTTAGGATGTATAATTACTTATATATATATATATATATATATATATATTTATTTTTTTTTGGGGGGGGGGGAAACAAATGTGGAAAAAAAACTTCCAATTGATTTTACTTTTTCATTTCTTTCCCTAGCTCATCGAGGGCCGGGGAAACATATAGCCCTGCTAAATGTAAAATACTTTTAATGAGATAAATATACAAGTAGGAATGTTAACGTTTTCATTTTTCAGAAAAACGATCGTTTCGTTATGAAAACGACGACGAAAAATCGAAAACGAAACGATCGTAATTGAAAACGATAGTTTTTTTTAAAAAGTTCGTTTTTTAAAAAAGTTAGTTTTTTAAAAATGGTCGTTTTTCATAACGCTCGTTTTCAAAACGATCGTTTTTATAAAATTCGCCGTTTCGTTAACGATCGTTAACGACGACCCGTTGCATGTATTTTTTTTCAAAAACGACCGTTTTGATAAAATTCGTCGTTTCGTTAACGATCGTAAACGACTACCCTTCGTTAACGATCGTTAACGACGACCCTTCGATAACGATCGTTAACATAATTGTCAATAAAGTAAGTTTTTTTTTCAAAAACGATCGTTTTTTCAAAAACCATCGTATAAAAACGGTGCAAATCGTTTTAATAAAATGATCGTTTTCAAAAACGATCGCTATTCATTTTCTAAAAGTTCAAAACGAGTGGGTCGTTTCTAAAAACGATCGTTTTTTTCCGAAAACGAAACGATCGTTTTTGAAAACGAAACAAAAAAAGGTCGTTTACAAAAACGATTAACAACCCTATAATACAAGTGATCAAGAAAACTGTGAACTAACTGCCCACTGTGCTCTAAATTGACCCTAAAGGTCGACATTGTAGGACTTAAAAATTTTCTTTACCATGCCTTCTAAAATGGTTAAAGTGGGTCAGAAACTGATTTCACAAAAATCTGATCACACTTGGGGGTCCCAAAAATGACCCCAAAAATGATTAAAATTTAAAATTGAATTGCCAAAAGTATGCAAAATATGGATGTAATCCAAAAATGTTGTTTCTACGACCCCCAAAACATGCTAAATATAGCTGGGGTTATCGAAATATAATTTTACAAAAAGTTTTCCAAAAATCAAGTTATTGTTAATCTTTTAATTTATTGATTGAGTTTATGAGAATGAGATCTGCAGGAAGTTTTGATAAGATAACATAACATATCATGGAGCATTATGCATTGCAATCATGATCATTGTGAGAGTATAAATTGATATGGGTAAGGGTAAACATAATTTGAATAAAGTAATAATTAAATTTAAAAAGGTATAATAGATAAAGGAAAAGTAGAAAGATAATCATGTCGAAGAAAGGTTTGTATTTATAACAAATTATATATCAGCATTACTATGAATAATATGTATCAGAGATAGAAATGTGAAGAATAGAATAGTTGAGAACAAGTTAGGGATCAAGGGAAAAAGTAAACATGAAATAGTGAAAGTTGCAAAAAGGAAAAAGAGTTAGAAAACATCGATATAAAAGAAAAAATGAAAGCCATGAAGAAGTGGGTGAAAAAGCATAGATATATAAAAGAAATGAGATGACCAGTGAGGAATTATTTTGAAAATATTCAAAGATAGTTCTATATTGTAAGAATCACTATTAAAATAACGAGAGATAAAAGTATTGTTAAATACATGTTTTTTTTCAGATGTGTATTTTTTTCTTAATTATGTCTTCCTTCTCTCTTTCAATCGAATCTTTACTTTGACTTTTAATTGTTGTCAATCTAATTTCCTTTAATCTTTTTCTTTATATTTTTCTTTTCATTATTTTTTTTCTCTCCTTTTTATTTCGTTTATTTAGTTTGTTACTATTAATATTATTGACTAAAAAACAATCTTTTGTCCGCTAATTAGTTAAAATAAAAAATTCAGATTACGAAATATATATTTATATATCGCCAATAAATCTTTTAATTTAAGACTTACACAAAAAAAATGTAATGACCCAAAATACATGTTATAGGGGAGATCATTTAAGTAAACATCTTTAATCTAACATGCTATTAGCATGATTTGGGGCATTTCAAACTTGGGCCATTTTTGAGAGCATTTTTTGGGTCCCCCACACATGTGTGTTTAGATTTATGCGAAATCGGATTCTGACATCCTTAAACATTATAATAGTCATGGCAAAGCAATTTTTTAAGTCACAAGAGGTCGACCTTTTGCGTCGATTTGAAGCACAGTGTGTCGTCTTTGTATTTATATTTAATAGTGATATTTTAATGGATTTTAAAATTCTTCGTAAAAAGTTTTTCAATTTTTATCTATGTTAAAGCATGGCACGGGATTAGAATTAAATCATGATCAGATACATATTAACTTTTTCTTCTGGCAACCACTGTATTTTTGTTACCTGAGGGTTAAGCAGGATTTTTCGTACCCCTGCCACCAGCTGGTTTAGAAACTTTCCACGCTCAGCATTATTAAACAATGATCTCCTATATTCATTTTTAATAAAAAAAGATATTTTGAAATCGAAAAAAAACTTTTTGCACATCCATTAAGTTTAAAACGAATGAAACATAATGTTTAAAATAAGAAGACAACAAATCATTAAAGAATGATAATAAATAGATGTTTATGGGAATATATATATATATTGGAAAATTTATGATTTTGTGCATTTAAGTCTCAATAACACCCATGTGAATATGCTTTTAAAATCTTAATTTTTACTTTTACAAGTAATTTTTTCCCTTTTTAAAATCATTGAAACCCAATTAAGCTGACCATTTTTAATTTCTATAAAAATACCTTTGGTAAATATGACTTGAAAATTATTTATACAAAAAATATTTAATTAAGGGGTAAGCCCGGCCTACCGTGGGACTTCAACAATTATGGTTTGCAAATGTCATTAATATTTTCCATAAAAACCTGTAGAATCAAATTTCAGAAGGTAGCAGGGAGTAAAGGAATTTTAAACCCGGCGCCTTACTTTATACAAACAAACTTGATTCCAGGGCAGGGGAGTATATTTATAAAAATTACAATTAAAAATTATTTTTAAATATATCCAGGGAAAAATAATGAATAATTAGACCTCAAAAGTCAAGTTTTTGTTCCAAAAAATTTACAGTCTATTGCAGGATGTTGTGTGCGTCTAACCTGACACTAGCTATCTGGACTAGGCAAGCTAGTGCATGCGGGGATAGGGATGAAGGGAGAGAGAAGTACAGATCAAAGAAAAGCTGCAGTGTAGAGTATTCTGAAATATTTAATCATTAATAATTTATGAAACTAGGCTTCGCAACACCTTTCCTGTTAATAATTTTAGCTTCTAACTTTTGTTCTGAAATTCGGTCGTTGTAAATTATTTTCAAATTTTGACGTAAAAAATCGTCCATTTTTAAGTGGAAAAGTAAAGATTATTAGTAAATTAATTCAGGGCTGTGTAAAATTCTACCCCCCCCCCCCCCAGGGGGGTGGGAGAAAAAAGGGAAAAAGGGGAAGAAAAAGGGAAAAAAGGGAAAGGAAAAGAGGAAGGAAAAGGGGGAAAAAGGAAAGTAAACGAGGAAGGGTAACAACAGAAGAAAGGGATTGGTGGGAAGGATGGGAAAGACGGAAAGGTAGGGAGGAAAGTGGACAGGTAGGGAAGGAGATAGGCAGGGAGGGAAGGAGATAGGTAGGGAAGGGGAAAAGTAGGGAATTGGAAGGTTGGAAAAGGGAAGGTCGGGAGGGAAAGGGAAAGATTGGAAGGAAAACGGGAAGGTTGAGAGGGACAGAGGAAGGTTGAGAGGTAAAGACAAAAATAGGGATTAGGGAACTAACTACAAACGGGACAGGGAAGGTAAGTAAGGGAAAAGGAAGTATTGGGAATGGGAAGGGGAAGGGAAAAAATTGATGGACGGTTGGCAGATAAGGAAGGCAAGGGAAATTTAGGGAAGTAAGGGTTGGAGCAAGGCTCTTTACCTCTTCATATCTAACTTTCTCTGAAACTAGACAGTTTTCGCGCTCCGCGTACAATTTCACTCAAAAATATGATAAAAGAAACCCATTACTCAATCAAAAATATTAAACAAAATTTTGCGCCAAGTGCACAATTTCAGAACAAGCAATTTTTTTTGAAAACTTGAGAGTTAACACCCACCCCCATTAACACCCACCCATACCAAATAAAAGAAATTTGCCTGCGACGCCTTCTGTGCAAAATGCATCCTAATAGCGTTTATTATGCACTGCAGTATGAATATTTAAAAAAATTCGTCTTTTAAGACGTTATCGAATNAAAAGTTGGAATTATATACACATCTAAATTAATTATTAAATTTTTAAATCATATTAAGTTACCAGTTCATACCGGATTCTGGATTTAGAATATAGTTTTATCTCGAATCTAAATTGTAATTTCAATCTTAGGATTTACTTCCAACCAAAATATAACCAAAATATCAAACCTATGAAAGCAGGACACCATGTTATATTTCCAAACCAAATATCTAACCTATAAAAGCAGAACGCCATGTTATATTTCCAAACCAAATATCTAACCTATGAAAGCAGGAAGCCATTTTATATTTTCAAACCAAATATCTAACCTAGGAAAGCAGGACGCCATGTTATATTTTCAAATCAAATATCTAACCTAGGAAAGCAGGACGCCATTTTATATTTCCAAACCAAATATCTAACCTAGGAAAGCAGGGCGCCATGTTATATTTTCAAACCAAATATCCAACCTAGGAAAGCAGGAAGCCATTTTATGTTTCCAAACCAAATATCTAACCTAGGAAAGCAGGACGCCATGTTGTTGGTATTTGAACAGTGCACAGGTCGTCTGAAGACTCATCTGTAGATGTTCCGATGAAATCAAAGGTTAAACAGTTGTGTGCCAATCTAAACATTATAAGATTATAAATAAATCGCCTTTTGGCCAGGGGGTATATGCTTTCAAAACCCCCCTCCACTACCGCGGGGGAAATAATTTTTGATGCTCCTCTCTGGGATAAAATGAAAAATTTGACATCAAGTTTTTTATCATGTTTGATTGACTTTGCCAAAAAATACATGATTTTCCCCATTTAAGCAAATTAAAAAAGGGGGTCCGCGCAACCATACCTGCCGAAAATTGCTTACCTGAGAAGTTGTGTGAGAAGACCGTGCTGGGCGGAATCCGTGAAATCTAGATTCTTCTTGTTTTCCAGAGCAGTTCTAGACAATCGACCAGTCAATCAATCAACCAACCAACCAACCAGTCAGTCAGTCAACCAATTAAGCAATCAATCAATCAAATATCAATCAGTTAGTCAATCAGCCAATAACTTAATAAATTAAATTTTACAAAACAAGAATGATTGTTTGCATTTATGATTAAACCAAAGAAACCAAATTAACGATTCGAGGATTTTCTTCTGAAAAGAATATTCAAGAAAATCTTCTTCATGAAGGTTAATAAAATCAGAAGTTGAATGAATTAAGTTAAAGGACAAGGATAAAATAGGAAAATTTTGATGAAAATAAAAAGTGAGCATACAGGAAAAAGAGAAGAAAAGGCACAATATTGAAATCATGTATACCATATCTCCAAAAATGCTGAATAATAGATAAACTAAACATTAAAACCGTGATTTTACCAATATGACAAATTTAAAATGTTCATCTTAATTTATATATTTACAAAAATCTAAACTTTTTGGAGACAACTTCTTGAAATTCTGAGTATCTACCTTCCTTGGTGTCATGCGAGGTTCCACACAAAATGTCGGCCCAATCGGTTCAGCCGTTTTGACGTTTTTTGGATAGAAATAGACATCCAGACAAACAAGCAAGGTATATGTTAGGTGAAATATTGTCTTAATCAAAAAACATAATTGCTAAATCCGAAACGTATGCAGACTGCTGACGTGTGACCACCCTATTTAATTGCTTCAACCATCATCTATTTTATTTGAAATATTGTTAAAAATTTATATGAACAAAAAATTAACGTTAAAATAACATAAGCCACATGTGCCGGATAAATGCCTACCTGAGTAGACTACTGGACATTTGGAAGAACTCAAACAGCTGACTGTCTCGGAAGGAAGATGCAATTTTCCTGAATCAAAACTTTGACTATAATCTTATAAAAATGTTAAATAATTATAACCCCCCCCCCCCCCCCCCAATCGGGCGGGAATATTTTTCAAATATTTTGTAGAAAAAATTAAAACTAGTTTAAAGGATAATCAGCTTGTCGACAGAAGCAAATATTATTTTGTTTATATTTGTTTATGTCGAGTAAATTAGAAATGCTAGTGCGTATCGTGCAAAGCATCAAAAATGTCAGAAACTTATCAGTTACAGGGCTTAGGATCCTTTTAATTTTGATGCGGATCCGGACCCGCGATCCGCACGGAAAAAAATGGATCTGGATCCAAATCCAATCCAAATATATACAAACCCCCTGTGTGGTGGGTTAGTCGAGGGGAGGAAGGTTAGTAACAACAATTTCTCAAGCCACATTCTCAAAATTTTCTCGTCCGAGCCACCTCGGAATCCTCGTCCTTCGGAAATTTAACTCGAAAGCTTCAGTTCGATTGAAACACTTTTTTATTTACAAAAATTCAATTTTTTCTTTAACGTGGCCCGATTCTTAAAAAATAGCGTTATCTGGGAGGATACTTAATGAATAATATTGTATGGACAAAGATTTTGAGGTGGCTCGGACGAGAAAATGAGGAGAATGTGGCTCAGACGAGAAATTGTTGTGGCTGGCCTTCCTCTCCTCGTTAGTCTCTACCTGTGTTTTGTTAGACTTCTGCTAGCATCCGCCTCACTTTAAAAAATCATGTTCAAAATAATTAAAATGTTAGAAAAGTTACAAATATATAGAAATGTTAGAAAAGACGAAGATTAGTGTTTCAAACGTTGATCAATATTACTTTCAACAATTAAGTGAACCCCCCCCCCCCTCCACAGAATAAAAAAAAATTTTGATCTTTTAATACTTAAAAACTATAGTTTATCACGTCGAAATTTTTTTTCTTGTAAAAGTTTTCAATTTCCACCAGCCATAAACATTCCCCGGGGTCATGTCAGTTACAACAAAAATGTAGGCCCGATCGGTTCAGCCGTTTCAATATTTATTCGATACAAACAGACAGACAGACAGACAAGCAAAATATATACAAAGGTAACTGATTTCAAAAGAATGACTATTTCAGATTGAAAGATTTTGAAAGAATGACTGATTTTGTGCATGTTCCTAATCTGATTCATTTCACATGTCAGCTGGGAGAGAAGCTGAATACCAACCATACACTGTTCAGCAGATCCTACAAATCATTAATTAATACATCAAATAAAATGACAAAAATGTCAGAAAATCCTCTTTCACTTCGTGCCAATTTTTGAAGAACTGAGAAGCCAAAGAGTAGTTTCTCAATGGAATGCTTAACCCTGTGATATAAAAACTGCGCTATCGTAAAACACTTCTAAATCTAGATGTGTTAAAAATGAAAAAAAAAAATCTATTTTGTTCTAGTTTCTATTGTTGGGACAAAAAGGGACAAAAAAAAAATACATAAATAGAAAACTGAGAGGCCAAATTTAAAAAATAAGAAAATGTCGAAATTAAAAAAATGAAAGAAAAAAAGATTAGACCAAAAACGGGAAAAAAATTTCCTTCAATTTTAATCTTGATGCACTGGATATTCGTAAATATTGAATATGATGTTTTCTGCATATTAAAGTGATATATGAACCCTTATAAATATCGTGACACCAATCTGAAATTTTCTTATAAACTCAACCAGGAAAATAATCATAACATAAATATACACTATACAGTTCTAACGATCCGGATCCACAACCTTTCAGCTTCCTGGATCCGCAACCTTTTAGCTCCCTGGATCCGGGTCCACAACATTTCAGCTCCCTGGATCCGAATCTGCAAGGCTCCCTGGATCCGGACCCGCAACATTTCAGCTCCCTGGATCCGGATCCGCAACATTTTAGCTCCCCGGATCCACAAAAATATTGTATCTTAAGCTATATGATGAAATAGTTTTTAAAACGCATCTCAAAAGATCAATTATTGTTTCGGAAAAAAATGCGAAATTTTTTTTAGCTATTGATCAATTAATCAATTGTCTTATTTCTTGGGAGTCAAGGGGGGGGGGAGGCTAAATCACCCTTATATTTTTTTTTTGGGGGTGGGGGGCGCTTGCAGCTTTGCTCTGATTCAAACCACCCTCTGATTAATCTATTTAAGAAAGTTTTCTCACCGCTTAAAAACTTGTTGACATCACTCATAACATTTCTGAAGACAAACTCATCTTTGTCCGAGTCAAACCATCCCAACTTAGTTATTCTGCTGTACAGTGTAACAAGACCCTAAAGTGAAGTACATAATTATTATATTGTACTGTGTAACAAGACCCTAAAGTAAAGTACGTAATTATCCTGCTGTACAGTGTAACAAGACTCTAAAGTACATAATTATCATATTGTACAGTGTAACAAGACCCTAAAGTGAATCACATAAATATCATATTGTACAGTGTAACAAGACCCTAAAGTGAAGTACATAAATATCATATTGTACAGTGTAACAAGACCCTAAAGTAAAGTACATAAATATTATATTGTACAGTGTAACAAGACACTAAAGTTCATAATTATCATATTGTACAGTGTAACAAGACCCTAAAGTATATAATTATCATATTGTACAGTGTAACAAGACCCTAAAGTAAAGTACATAAATATCATATTGTACAGTGTAACAAGACCCTAAAGTAAAGTACATAATTAACCTATTGTACGCTGTAACAAGACCTTAAGGTACTAATTATTTAATTGTACAGTGTTAAAAGACCCTAAAGTAAAGTACATAATTGTCCTATTGTACAATGTAACAAGACCCCAAAATAAAATATATCTATCTATCTATCTATTATGACATCCCAATAACACGAATGTTACCAGGAAACAACCCCTCCCGGCAACCATCAGCCTCACTTAGGAGTACATGGGTCACAGAGTTAGCATGACATGTGCTGAAGCCGTGAAGCCCCAACTACCGTGGCTTGTATCTTCAGCCTTAATTTGTAAGAGAATGTTAGGTTTATCCTTATTTTCCTCCGACTCCTGGCCGAATCATTCAATGTTCTTTTTAGATTTCCTAATTCCATATTACGATTTATGTACTCTCTTCCCTGATATAAAAAGCTTCAATGGTTCCCATCTAGGCTATAGTTCCATAGGCAAAAACATCTCATAGGCTTCAATGGTTCGCAGCCAGGCTAGAGTTCCATAAGCAGAATAACTCTCAAGGGCATCAATGGTTCCCAGCTAGACTAGAGTTCCATAAGCAGACTAATCTCAAGGCTTCAATGGTTCCCAGCTAGGCTAGAGTTCCATAAGCAGACTAATCTCAAGGCTTCAATGGTTCCCAGCTAGGCTAGAGTTCCATAAGCAGGCTTATCTCAAAGACTTCAATGGTTCCCAGTTAGGCTAGACTTCCATAAGCAAGCTTATCTCAAAAGCTTTAATGGTTCCCAGCTAGGCTAGAATTCCATAAGCAGGCTAATCTCAAGGCTTCAATGGTTCTTAGCTAGGCTAGAGTTCCATAAGCAAAATCCCCTCAAAAGCTTCAATGGTTCCCAGCTAGGGTAGATATTCATAAGCAGGCTAATCTCAAAAGCTTCAATGGTCCCAGCAATGCTAGATTCCATAAGCAGGCTAATCTCCAAAGCTTCAATGGTTCCCAGCTAGGCTAGAGTTCCATAAGCAGACTAATCTCAAAGGCTTCAATGGTTCCCAGTTAGGCTAGAGTTCCATAAGCAGGCTAATCTCAATGGTTCCCAGTTAGGCTAGAGTTCCATAAGCAGGCTAATCTCAAAAGCTTCAATGGTTCCCATCTAGGTAGTTCCAAAAGCAGAATAAAATCTCAAGGGCTTCAATGGTTCCCAGCTAGGCAACATCTTATAGGCTTCAAGGTTTCCCAGCTAGGCTATAGTTCCAAAAGCAGAATAAAATCTCAAGGGCTTCAATAGTTCCCAGCTAGGCAAGAGTTCCATAAGCAGGCTAATCTCAAAGGCTTCAATGGTTCCCAGCTAGGCTATAGTTCCATAAGCAGGCTAATCTCAAAGGCTTTAATGGTTCCCAGCTAGGCTAGAGTTCCATAAGCAGACTAATATATTTATCCTAGTGTAAACAAAATACTAAGTAAAGTACATAATTATCCTGCTGTACAGTGTAACAATACCTTTAAAAAATGAACAAAATTACCTTACTGTACAATACAATGCAAGAAAGGGTTTGTATGTACAATACATTGTATATTTTAAAATTTTTTTTAACTTTAGATGCTTTGGGGGAAAAACAGACCAACAGGCAAATTTTTTATACCCTTTAGATTTTTTGTTTATTTATCACTGTAAAAAATAAAAGAAAATACCAGTACAACAAAGAAAATACCAGTACAACAAAGAAAATACCTGCACAACAAAGAAAATACCTTTACAGAAAAGCAAATACCTGTACAACTAAGCAAATACTTGTAAAACTAAGCAAATACTTGTACAACAGAGCAGAGAAAATAACTAAACAAAATAACAAATACTTGTACGACAAAGAAAATACCAGTACAACAAAGAAAATACCTGCACAACAAAGAAAATAACTTTACAGAAAAGCAAATACCTGTAGAACTAAGCAAATACTTGTACAACTAAGCAAATACTTGTACAACAGAGCAGAGAAAATAACTAAACAAAATAACAAATACTTGTACGACAAAGAAAATACCTGTACAACAAAGGGTGGAAGTTTAAGCTGAGACCAAAGGTAATGGAGAACATAGTTTCTTATATCAACTCTTTGCTGCATTGTCAGGATCTAAATACATAGAAGTTTAAGCATTATATTTCAGCTTAAATTTAAAAAAAAATATCATTGATCCTATTTTTACGTTATTTTTGTCTTTTTTATAACTTCTGACGAGCTCTTTTCTTTTAAATTTTCTCTTTTTAAGGTTATTTCTCTTTGTTTCTTTTTCTACATTATTTTTAATATTGTTAAATTTTTACTTATTTAGATCCAGTTGGTGATTGTTTTTATTGTTGTAAACTGTTCTTATACCATTGAAATTGTAGTAATTGTTACTATACCTTTGAAAACTAGCTTGATACTGCTTGTTGCTGTTTATGTCAAAACCAGTTTTTTGATTGTTTTTGTTGTTAATATCTACCAGTGTAGATCTTGAAACCATTTTGGTGATTGTTGTTGTTCTTTTTATCTACCTGTGTTTATCTTGAAACCAGTTTGGCGATTGTTGTTGTTGTTAATATCTAACTGTGAAGATCTTGTTACCAGTTTGGTGATTGTTGTTGTGGATGTTATTAATATATTCTTGTGTAGATTTTAAAACCAATTTGGTGATTGTTGTTGTTAATATCTATCTCTGTAGATCTTGAAACCATTTTGGCGATTGTTGATGCTGTTAATATTTACCTGTGTATATCTTGAAGCTAATTTGGCGATTATTGTTGTTGATATCTACCTGCGTAGATCTTAAAACCAGTTTGGTGATTGTTGTTGTTGTTGTTGTTAATATCTACCTGTGTAGATCTTGAAACCAGTTTAGTGATTATTGTTGTTGATATTGTTAATATCTACCTGTGTAGATCTTGAAACCAGTTTAGTGATTGTTGTTGTTGTTGTTAATATCTCCCTGTGTAGATCTTAAAACCAGTTTGGTGATTGTTGTTGTTGTTAATATCTACCTGTGTAGATCTTGAAACCAGTTTAATGATTATTGTTGTTGTTCTTGTTAATATCTACCAGTGTAGATCTTGAAACCAGTTAAGTGATTAATGTTGTTAATATTGTTAATATCTACCTGTGTAGATCTTGAAACCAGTTTAGTGATTGTTGTTGTAGCGAGGAGTTGAGCGTATGGGGAGTTTCCCCGATCTAACAGCATCTGACATTTTCCTAAAATAAGTTCAATCAACGGGGTTTTAATTATCTGGAAAACCGCCTCCGCCCCCCCCCCTCTCTCTCTCTCTCGAGTTTTTAAACTTTTTCGTCGAATTGTCAAACTATGGTATTAGTCTTCTTCTTCTTAACAACTTTCGTATTATTTAAGAAAACAAAAATTATATAGTTATTACGACATAAAATAGAAAAATTTCTTAGCTCTTATGAGTTGCTTTTTGCCGGGCTCTCCAATAAAAAACATAGATATCAAACGTTAATGTAAAAGTATTTGTAAACGATACGAATGATAGATAAAGATAAAAAATCGTTGGTGCTAAAATTGCAAAAAATACATTGAAATTTTTTAAAAATCTATATTGCACACGTTGTAGGGATAAAATGACTTTTCGTCAATATCAAAAATGTATATCGAGGGGGGGTCCAAAAATCGTATACTAGGAAATTACCGAAAAAGAAAAAAAGTTAGAGAAAAAAAAGACTAATCGTTAATGCGGGAAAAAAAATTCAGTTTAAAAAGGACAGAAAAATTGGTAATATTCTTAGTTCTGACATTTAGATCTTTGACAAGGCCCACTTAAAATATAACACTGTCAAAAAAAGATTGTTACCTAGACTCTCTGAACTGTTCTGAAATGAAACCAAGGCTTTCTCAGCTCCTTGCCTTTCATTAGCGTCCTGGGATTCATATAGGGATTTACAAAGAGCCTCGATTCTTATAACCTCCTAAGCAAAGTGTTTCAATTAAAGTTTAAGAAAATTAGCATTTAAGACACTATTTCTATTTTCTGCACATGAAAAGGTCTTTTTTTGTACAATCTATTGCTTTTTGATTAAATCAAATGATTTTTATCCTTCCGCACAACACATGGAAAATTCTCTAGCTAATTCTATTTTTTCTTATGTAAACTGCTGAATTTGTCCCTGTGTCGCTCATTGCTGAATTTACTTTAGATTAAAAACACGCTAAAAATGTGTCAATTCATTCAGCGATCATTTACGATTTTTTATATAAATGATTCCCTATGCAAAACAAATGTGATTAATTTTTATAAACAACTTGTTATATAAATTGCATAGACCCAGTAAAGATTTGAATAATAATTTATATCCCTATTATTTTGGTTCTCAGTGCAATAAAATTTGTAGTCAGTGCTGTCAGTGCATAAATGAGGCGTTAAGTCTTTTTTCTTAGAGAATTTTATGGATAAATATTTCGTACAACTGTCCAGTTTTCTTTTATTGACACGCAGGTCAAATACTGATATCCAATAATTTCTTGAGTCTCTAGTTTGTCCTATTTTAATTGAAGTTCCAGCATATTTCAGTGCTTTTAACCGCATTTCTTAAGTTATTTTCAATTTGTTTGTTTGTTCTCTAGTTTTCTTTTCGTTTTTTTTGTCATTTTTCTAGTTTAGAGTTTTGTTGTTCTTTATGAATCCAACTGCCTTAATGTATGCAGCAGTACAGAATGGAAAAATTGATACTTGTCAGAACAAGGCTGTTTTTGGCATTGATCTCATAAAACCATATATATAGAGAAAAATTGCGATAAGCAATTTATGGTATGATATGTATAAAGTTTAACTTTAGAGTTTTTCAACATATATCTTTGTATGTTCTTAAGAATTATTCATTAAGTGTTATCTTTATATTTTTTTGTTAATAAAAGTTCGAAGAAGAAGAAAAAGTTTTTAGACAGAGATACAGAGAAAATTTAAGTTCCAAAGCGTTGTAACAGGTCGCGGAAAACCAAATAAATGGTCAAAATTGGTGAAAATCCTAAAATTGATATAAGCCTTAAGAATAGAAATTGAGGGAGAAGAGTTTATTCCATGTAAGATCTTAAAACTTCCAAAAATAATATTATCGAAATTATAATAGCAATCGTTTTCGATACTCAATGGTTTAATCCAGTTCCGTCTCTTGGGGGG